ACGCTGGGTCGTCCGCGGGTTCGAGCAGACTCAATTCGTGGACTACGATCAAACATTCGCACCTGTCGGCCGCCACACCTCCGTTCGGATTCTCCTTTGCGGATCGACGTCTCCAACGCCTTCCTCTACGCGATCGTCGACGCCATCATCTACGTCGAGCAGCCGCACGCCTTTGAGGAAGACGGCGACGCCATCTGCCTCCTCCAGAAGTCCCTGTACGGCATCAAGCAGGCGCCACGCCTGTGGCAGTAGTACCTTCACATCGTGCTCATCGAGCTCGGATTTCAGCAGCTCCCTCACGATCAGGGGATGTACCGCCTTGAATCCCGCGGCCACTTCATCCTGCTCGTCGCCTACGTGGATGACCTCCTCTACACCAGTGACAACGCGGAACTGCTCGATCGCTTCGAACGCGACATCCAAGAGAAGCTGGAAGTAACCATCGATCACGAGGTCACGCAATTCCTCGGCCTCAACGTCACCCAGACCGCCGACACAATCCACCTCTCTGCCGCGAAATACGCCGAAACACTCGCAAAGAAGTTCGGCATCGCTCCCATCGGCATCACTACCCCGTTCCGTGCTCCCCCGCCTAACCACGAGCCCGACACTACCCCGCTCTCACAGGCCGATCACCCTCTTCTACCAGCAGCAGCTCGGGTGTCTACTGTTCGCCGCCGTCACATGCCGCCCGGGCTTATCCTACATCACCAGCCAACTCGCCCAGTACCTGCGTCGACCTGAAGGGGAGTACCTGGCAGACCTGCGGCGCGCCTTACAGTATTTCATCTCTACGCCCGATGTCGGCCTCACCTACACAGCGAACCTAACGGCTACTCTACAGCTTACTGGCTACGTGGATGCGGATCACGCTGGGGACGCAGATAACAGGAGGTCCCGCACAGGCTTCATTTTCAAACTTGAGCCAGCAGGAACCATCTCCTGGAACTCACAGAAGCAGGAGCTCATCGCCCTCTCGTCAGCAGAAGCAGAATTCATCGCAGCAAGCGCAGCAGTTCGCGAAGGTCTCTACTCCACGGAACTCCTACAGGAAACAAAGACGGCGATGAACGGGTCCTTCAAGTTACTCTGCGACAACCAGAGTGCGATCAAAATCGCAAACAAACCAGGCTTCGTCAACCGCGCAAAGCACATCGCCCTGCGTTACTTCTTCGTCAAGGACGAAATCGACAAAGGGAAAGTCCAGCTCACCTACTGCCCGACTGGCGAGATGGCAGCTGATTTTCTGACGAAGAAACTGCCACGTCAAAAGTTCCAGTACTGCTCGGACCTGTGCGGAGTCGTCCGAAAGAGCCACGTGGCGCACCTCCATGAATGAAGGGGAGTGTTGGAGTATGAAGGGAATTATACGTAGCATTCCCGTAGGTGCAGCAGTATCGCACCAGTCCCTATCGAAGCAGCAACAACAGCAGTATCGGATCAGCCCGTATTAAGGGCAGGAAGGTCAACAGTCGCAAGAGTCAACTGTCGCGACTATTGACCATCTGGACCGACGATTGACTTACCATCGAGGAATGGCAACAGGCGTAACCGTATGTACAGGTTACATGTAGCGACTCGGTAACAAGAAAGTAGTGCAACAGTCAGAGTCACTGTAGAAATGCCTGTAAAGCAGTTAGAATAAGGGAACGTACCCCTCAGAGTACATGGCTAACTAGGAACTATTTATTATGTGTGTAATCTTTGTTTTAATCAACTTGGTCATTTACATTCACATGATCTGAGTTCCTACAACAAGACTTCCGCTACCAAACTCTCCTAAAGCAATTCCTATCCTATCCAAGGTCCTTTACTCTAACACGTAACTCTTGTAGAGTATTTTCTTGCTTCCTACTTTAGATTTCCCCTCCCACATCGTTTAGTTCAATTTCTTCATGCTCATCCCTCGCGTACTGTACGGCCAGAAAAAAAGATATTTTCCCGATTCAAATCATGACCTGCTGTGCTTGAAGATCACCCCGAACCGCACCCCGCTGTGTGCACGTCCGTGATTTGAGAGTCAGTTAAGATTTTTGGGGTCTATAATGGTATCGGTGAGGTGCGGAGCGGTTGACTGTGCTTTAAGTGTGTTCAACATTACAATTGTGCCACGACAATGTTCAATCCAATGTCTATCGGCCCGTGGCGGTGCCTCCTCTGCCCCCCCAAGTAGGAACGAGCAAATCTCAAGGAAAAATAAAACTCCCGATTCCAAGCAGGACTAGCAACAGCCTCAGCTCAGTAAACAACCAGCCTTCGGCACCAAGACCGTCGGGGTGGGTGACGGAGCACCTGCGCGACACTTTTCTCTCTGAGCCCGCATACCTGCCTCACCTGCTAGGAGTCTTCACCCAGTGGACCAAGGGAGAGGTAGCGGAGCGCGTGCGACCCTGGCTCACTGCGTCCAACCTTGTGGGCCTGTCGAAGCCGAATGGTGACGTTCGCCCGGTGGCTATAGGCGAGGTGCTCCCCCGCTTACTATCTCGGGCCCTACGCATCGTGCTTCGGCCGAAGATGATGTCGCACTTTGCGCCGTGTAACCAGCTAGGAGTCGGATCCAGGTCGGGAGTGGAAGTCCTCGCACATGCCTTTCGTTCTGCCATCTCTACTCACCCGTCATGGTGCGCGCTTCAAATTGACGTGGCGAACGCTTTCAACTCCTTCCATCGGCGGGAAATGTTTGAAGGACTTCGACAGTCGCCTTTTGCGGGTTTGATCCCATTCCTGCGTGTCTTCTACGGCACTCCTAGCGACCTCTACCTCCGTGCGGGCCCCTTCGTCGAAGCTTTGGCTCCAGAGTGAGGATCGAGGCAAGGGGACCCATTGGGGCCGTTTCTGTTCGCGTTCACACAGCAGCTGGTTATGGAGCCAACCAAACAAGAATTCGCCGACCTACTCTTTCTCAGCTACGCCGATGATACGTACATCTTGGGGCCTAGGGAGCGGGTGCTAGCAGCTTATGAGGTCTTGCGGGAACGACTGGGCGGGCTTGGTCTGGAGGTGCAGCCGCATAAGTGCAAGCTTTGGGAGCGAGGGGTGGACCAGGAGGGAGAGGAGAGGAACGAGACCGTCCCGCCCGGCATGCAGCAAACATGGACGGGGCTCACCGTAGTGGGGGTTCCTATTGGGGAGGAGGAGTGGGAGGTGGCCAGCTTGCGAGGCCGGCTGATGCAGCTGCATGCACCTGTCCCTTGGCTTCCTTTGCTCGACCACCCACAGATTGCGTCCCATCTGCTGGCGATCGCAGTGTCAGCGTGCCCGATTTACCTCACAAGGACGATGCCTCCACGGCCTGAGGTTGTGGAGGCTTTCCGCGACTGGGACACGAAGCTTGAGGATTGTTTTGAGCAGCTGTTTCCAGATAGCACCTGGGATCATGATTCGGCAAGGTCGCAGATGGCCCGTCTACAGCTGCACCTTCCAGCCAGACTTGGAGGGTTTGGCATTCGATCTGCAGCTGACCTTAGCCCTCTGTCGTACGCATGTGGTTGGTGCCAGGCAGTGAGCGATGTGGCTCGGATGGGGGTGGCAGGGGAGGAGCGGATGTTTGAGGAGTTTTTCCGCACGCCCGAGGCTACGACCTTGCTGGATCCTTGGTTTGCGAGAGCAGTGGAGCTGCTGCCACAGTCGGTCAGGCAGGAGATGCCACCCCTAGCCTTATGCACCGCTGACCCCCCTGTGCTGCTTTTCCCCACACAACACCGTCGCCTAGCGGTTGAGAGTCTGCAGACTCTTCGGGGTATGGCCCACGACGACGCCACCCTGGCCCGTTTGACATCCCTTCAGGGCCCGGGGGCAGGGGCGTGGGTCTCCGCCGTCCCTTCGCACGAAGAGGCTACCTTCACCGCAGCCGAGTGGAGCATCTGTGCGTCCATGCGCCTAGGCCTCCCCATACAGCAGCTGATAGTCGCCGGCAAGTGCGCGTGTGGGTTTGAGTTTGCTGATCCCTCTGACCCGCATCATGCCCTTCGCTGCAAGTACCAGTACGCACCTTCTCGTGTTCACGACGCGGTTAAGTTTGTGGTGGCGAAGATAGCTAAAGGGGCGGGTGGGGTCGTGACCATGGAAGACGACACGTTGCTGCCAGGGAAGAGGGTGGATGTGGCGGTGCGGAGACTGAGGGAGGGGGAGGAGCATGCGCTGGAGGTTAGTGTGGTGGACCCTATCTCGTTGTCCGCGCAGCACCATGGACAGATTGGTCGCAAGGTGGGTTTTGCCGCTAGAGAGATGGAAAAGCGGAAGGCGGCGGACTACAAATTGCTTCTGCAGCGACATAGGGGAGTGCAGTTTACACCTCTCATTGCTGAGACATGGGGTTGCCTGGGGGGGAGTTTTGGGCGGTGGCTTAAGAAACAGGGCGACGCGCAGATTGAGGTAGCGAAGACGAAAGGGGCGACGAGAGCTACGGGGAAAGGTTTCTCGGCTTACTTGCTTGGATCACTTAAAGCGGCCATAGGTGTGGCTTTGCAGCGGGCTCAGGCGCGTGTGATCTTGTTGCGCGCGGCGTCGATGATGAGAGGCCCAGAGGCTGTTTCGGTGGAGCGGGAGGATTTTGAGGAGGAGATGGGATGGGATGCTCCGTGGGCGGATGCGCCCTATTTGGTGGACATGCGGGTTTAGAGGGTGGGTTTAGGTGAGGGGGGTGGGGGGTTTGGTTAGATGGGGCGTATTGTTGGGGTGTCTCGTTGGGGTGTCTCGTTGGGGTGTCTCGTTGGGGGTATCTCGTTGGGGTGTCTTTTGGGGTTCCTTATGTGCTGTTCTACTGGGGTGTTCTTGAGGCTGCGTTTTCCGTTTTTCTTTCATTTCAAACTGAAAAAGATGTATCTATGTACAATATCAACCAGCAAAAAAAAAAAACAACCAGCCTTCCCATTTCCCTCGTAGACGCTGTTTCTATTTCGACATTTCACAATTGCTTCCAAATGTCGACGGCGAGCGGCATGGAGTTGAGGTTAGACGGAGTGGTTGTGAAAGTGCAACGAGCAGAGACGGCGAGCGAGATGACGGAGATAGTCGAAGGCGCGAAGGAGCGAGCGGAGGAGTTAGAAGCGCAGGTGAAGAGGCAAGGCGAGGCCATGGCATCTCTGAAGCGAGAGGTGGACGAAATGAGGCGCGCGATGGCGAAGGGGGCGCTGGAGACGATGGGAGCGGCGGAGAACCACGACGCTGGCAGTGCCGCGGCAGGAAAGGCAGGAGAGGACGTGGACGGCCTTCCAGCACAACCGGCGCCGAAGGGCGAGGCGCTTATGGCCCTGGTGGAGGCCATGATCGCGGCGCGGGTGAAGGACGAGGTTGAGTCGCAAGTGCAAGGATTGAAGGATCAGCTGGAGGCCGTGATACGCGAGGCGAGGGACGCGGCGAGCGAGGTGAGAACGGCGATCAAGCGGCAAGCTGTTACAAGTTGGGATTCCCGATGCCAGCGTGCATGGGAATACCCGAACGGTTGGATTTCCCCACTGCATCGCTAAGCTCCGAATAAGGATATGTGCCAACCTCGTATCCTCGTATCCTTGTCAAGCTACTAGAAGGTACTACAGTCCAACAGAGCGTGGCATCGAGGCGCTATGCCAAGATGCCATGCTAAGAAGCGTGGCGACACGGTTTTCCTTCCAAGTCGCCCTTCTTCCTTCATAGGATAAATATCTCTCTGTTTCTTTATTGTGGATCATCTTTTCTTCTTGTAATCCTATCATTCAATTCTATCTTCTTGCCATCTCGGATCCCACCTTCTACTTCTAGCTTAGCTCTTCCGCTGCCACTACTCGTTCTTCTACTTTCTCTTCGAGCTACGGCGCCACCGTCGCTATGGCGGGCTAGGCCAGCCGCGCCATGCGGACTGCGCCGTAGCCCTGTTTCAATTGGTGTCAGAGCCTATCGTTCCTCAGCCTCTTCTCTCGTCATAAGCTAGCTACTACTCTTTACCTTGACTTCGTCTCTGGTGTTTAGCTAGCTCGTCAATTCGATTTCTACTCTCAACTATTTCAGCTTCGACATGTCCTACCTTGGAGCAAGTATGAGGACTGCACGGGATGACGAGGAACTTCCTGCAGCCTGCTCCAACCCTCAGAAGTCGAATCTGCTTGGTGACTATGTTCCTGAACCTGCATCGGCGAATTTCTGCCAACTTGCGACCAGAAATTTCGTTTGGGAGATTTTCGAGCTACCATGCTGCTTACGTGATTTTCCGCTGCTACACTACTTCGAAATTCCTGCAACCCTTCGAATTGAGGTGCAGTTGGGTAATAAGTGCTCGAAAATTCCATTTCATGACCTAATCTTTCTGCTGGGGCAATTCTACTTGGTCTTCTACCCTGAATCTGTTTTCCATGGAAATCCTCGCTTCAAGTCTTGGGAAGTTGGTCCTTCCAACTCCTTGTAACAAGTGGATTTCTCTGCTCTATAATCTGCTCATGGATGAAGAGAAATGATGAGCATGCCTATAAATTCCTTCTACTTGCATGATCTAACTTCTCACCTCTCTTCCCTTTGAAACACTTGCCTCTGCCTAGTCCAATGCTCTGTAGTATATAAAGAACATCAGCACCTTATTTCACTACCTTAGTGGATCCACAAGGTTGCTTGACTAGATGGTTAGTGCTTCCTTTTTCTGAATCTCCCTTATGAGGCATATAAGGTGGTATTGCTGGACGTGCTATAGGCACCAGCGTTAAGACAGCTTAATTGGGGTTGTTGTGTACAGTGAGAAGCGCCATAGCGTGAAAGCATGGGCTTAGTTGAGATTGTGCACACGGGAATGACTTATGGAGTCTTCCACCCTATGGTTAGAAGCTGCATGTGACCGCAAGAGCTGTAGTATGGGCTGCAGCTATATGCCGACCTCCTCCTCTGAGTTTCTTCTTGAATCTGCTGAAGTTTGAAGAACAATGAAGACCAAGAGAAGACCAAGGTTATCTTGTAAATATTTTCTGATTTAGACCTCTATGAAGCTTGGATGCTTGTTGTATGCTATGGATTTGACCTGTGGATAGTTAGCATGGGTAAGCATCGGGACGATGCTTCTTGGGGAGTGGAATTATGTTACAAGTTGGGATTCCCGATGCCAGCGTGCATGGGAATACCCGAACGGTTGGATTTCCCCACTGCATCGCTAAGCTCCGGATAAGGATATGTGCCAACCTCGGAGCATATTCTCATATCATTGTCAAGCTACTAGAAGGTACTACAGTCCAACAGAGCGTGGCATCGAGGCGCTATGCCAAGATGCCATGCTAAGAAGCGTGGCGACACGGTTTTCCTTCCAAGTCGCCCTTCTTCCTTCATAGGATAAATATCTCTCTGTTTCTTTATTGTGGATCATCTTTTCTTCTTGTAATCCTATCATTCAATTCTATCTTCTTGCCATCTCGGATCCCACCTTCTACTTCTAGCTTAGCTCTTCCGCTGCCACTACTCGTTCTTCTACTTTCTCTTCGAGCTACGGCGCCACCGTCGCTATGGCGGGCTAGGCCAGCCGCGCCATGCGGACTGCGCCGTAGCCCTGTTTCACAAGCAGCCGAGATAGCGGACGTGCGAGCGACAGCGGCGCACATTGACGCGCGGATGAACGACGTGGAGCTGGCGGTGGCGGAGTGGAAGTCGCGCAGGGAGCGCAGCGACGGCAGCGCGGGGCAGCATGCAGAGGCGGAGGGGCGCGGCGGGAAGAAGAGGAAGAGGGAGGTCAAAGGAGATGAGCTGGCAGAATTTGGTGGTGCTGCAGAAGTTGCTGCAGATGATGATGCAGCTTCTGATGATGAAGAGCGCGATGAAGCGGACGACTCGAAATGGGAGATTGAATGTCAGGAGTTGAAGAAAATGGTGGAGGTGGCGGTGAGCCGAGTGGCGAAGCTGGAAAAGACGAGTGACGAGGGGAAGAGGATATGGGAGGTGAGAGCTTCCATTTGTTAAGATACCCGTTCTACCCCGTGCTTCCTAATCCCTATATGTTGTTTTGCGCCACCAGTTTGGACAGTTTGGAAAGAACACGTGGCAGCCGTAGTTGGTCGATGGTACAATCCCCCTCACTCTGTGCAGTATCTGGTCCCAATTGGTACTCGATTGTGTTCGTGTGTGCCTTTGTTTGCCCTACCTGCAGGCGATGCTCACGCTGTGGGCGGCAGCACTCCCAGAGGAAAATCGAATGAACCTCAGCGGCATCTCCTGCCTCTCAGACGCTGCTCTCACTTGCCTCGCCTCATTGCCCGACCTCACATCCGTCAACCTCAAAGGCTCCTCCGGCTTCACCGCAGCAGGGATGAGAAAGCTGTACTCCCTCACAGGTCTGGACCATCTGGTGTTTGGGGCAATCAATGAAACCGATGCCGCTCTGGAAGGGATTGCCCGCCTGGCGAACCTGCACGCCCTGGTGCTTGACCACACCAATGTGACAGACGTGGGAGTGGCGAGGCTGCAAGAGCTGTCTGGCCTCACGAAACTGTGCATGACCGGATGTGCGTCCGTCACATCTGCCAGCATGGTGCATGTGGGCAGAATGACAGCCTTGCAGGTGCTTGCGGTGAACGCTACTGGAGTCAAGGAGGATGGACTGCAGCATCTGACTGCCCTCACTTCTCTCAAGGTCTTCACTTTGCCTTCGGGAGTGACTGACTCAGGCTTGAAGCACCTGAGCAATATGAAACGCCTGGAGAAGCTGGGACTGTGGAATGCTAAGGTCACTGCGTCAGGTATGAAGTGGCTCAAAGGCCTTTCGTGCCTCCGGAAGGTTGCAACTTATACGTACAAGGTCGAAGAATTAATAAGGGACATTCTCCCTGGAATCGTTACATCACGTACACTATGACTGATACATCGAAGTGAGGGGTATTGTGACAAAAGGTTAGTATGATTCGTGTTTTGTGGGCTGAGATTCGTGGGAAAATCGGATAATCGGTGTCAGTAGGAGTCCCTTGTACCTGTGAGAATGCTACCGGTAGTTCGATCCAACTACTAGTCGCGTTTTTTTGCCAATTTAATCATTCAGCATGCTCTAGAAAACCCCCAACAATGTCGTCTGATTTAACGCCCCTACTTCTTTTCTCTTGGATCCCTACAATCCCCTACGAGCGTACCTGTAAGCCCATAGTGTTGTACCCTTAAAGATAAGGTGTTTGTACCGTGAGATGGCATGTCCTCCAGGACTGCCACATGACGGACCCTCGGATAAGGAGAGCCCCAAGAGACTTGTACCGTACATGGGGGAGGGTCCATTATTTGAGGAACTTGTGGGTGATTATTGCGGTATATGTACAAGCCGAATTGCAAGAGTGACTGGTTGAGATTACAACCTGCTAGGGGCAATCAGCATGGGGTCCTGTTTTCTTGATGCCCTCCTTCAGTGCATTCAGCACTGGACTGGAGTCAACTTCCTCGTTGAGGTGGCCCTGAATACAGCACTGCTTCCTTGCAACCAAGAGGCTGGCTTCATAACGTATGGTAGATCAATGCCTGCAGCAGCTCCAATGCCGGATGAGATTCACAGGAGGCCGTGTGCAGCATGGCTGCCATGGATCAATCTGCACTGGCCCAGGGAATGAACGGGCACGTGTGGAACACAATCTTGAGCAGGTCACAATGGAAAGACCATGGTTGACACAAGCCCAGATTAAGCTGGCTATTAATGGCTATATATGTCCTCTGTGCTACCATGATGCTTTTTGGAGATGAAAGACCAGTGAAGATCCACAGAAACAAGAGGCAGAAATCGGGCATTTGCACATACCGTACCAATTTTTTTAGAATGCACAGAAACCTAAGCAGTACCGAACAGCAACGAATGCAAGGCATTGGAACAACAGGTGGGACACTGACAGCCAAAAGGGTAGTCTGAATTTCAATAAATTTCAATACAGCAGCAGGGAAGGAAACAATGCAAGTTAAAAGGGATGGTTTTGTGAACCTCGCAGCATTGTAGATGCAAATGCCCATGTTGACAGCCCTTTCATTCCACTGCACCTTGGCTTTCACTCCACCCACCTTCATAGGCATACCTGAAATGGTGCTCCCGTAGCAGCAGGCTGTAGAGGGGATCCGAGGGCGCGAGGGCCAAGAGCTGAATGACCACGTACACACACGTGGCCATGCTGGTCGTGGAAGGGTTGGGGTTGGGGGTGTGATAGGCGAGAGATGGAAGGAGCGAGAGGGAGGGATGGGCAGTGGTGGGAGGATGGAACCGGTGAACGACGATAACTGGCGGCTCAGATGTGAGGGCATGGGACACGAAAAACTGAAGAAACTGCAAGAAAACATGGGACATGTCAGGGGGCACGCTGGGCAGGGTGGGAGGGCAGCGGACCTTCCAAAACAGACGAGTAGTGTCACCCAGACTATGCGCGCCAGCCATGACGTCTCCTTGTAGCACACCCACGCCTGCCCCTCCACTCGCCATACGGGCGCACGCGCACCATACGCACGCACGCACGCACGCACGCACGCACGCACGCACGCACGCACGCACGCACGCACGCACGCACGCACGCACTCACGCACGCACGCACGCACGCACGCACGCACGCACACACACACACACACACGAGTGGAGGGGGAAGGGGGCAGGCGATGGCAGAAAGCAGTGAGAATAATGTCATCAACTGGAACGAGCACCAAGTGAGAATAGAAGCCCAGCAGTTGTCCCTGTGTGTGCAGGAGAGAATGGCGCCATACACGCCCAGAAGGCTAGGACTCCTTATATGCTTCGTTGCCTTTTTCCGCTTCTCTCCTCTTTCAATCCCAAACCCTTCGTCCCTTCCCGTCCCTTCCCTCGCTTTCTCTTCCTTCACTTCCCTGCCCTATCATACCCTTACCCCCCTTTTATTTTCCCCCACCATCCCTCCCATCCTGGGTACCATGGTTCCCTTCTCTCCCGTGCCACTCTCCCCCTCCCCCTGCACCGCGAGGGCGCGGCAAGGCGCACCCCGATGAGGGCGACGTTAACGTAGAAGTCCACCAGCGTCGCGCGCATCCACCTGCGCTCGCCGCCACACGTCGCCGCGTGCGCGCGCGCAAAGGCACGGAAAGGGAAAGGCGTCGGGATCGAGGGGAGGGGAAGCAAGAAAACGGGTCAGTCGCGGGGTTAACAAGAGTTGCAAGGATGAGCACACAACGACGAGCGCGAAGCGCGCGATGGGGATGCGGTGGATGGTATTATTCGAATGGTGGGTCGCGGCGCAAGGCGACATGGAACGAGGAACTTTTGAAAGCCATGGAGGGTGAGGCAAGGCGAGGGCGTACGGGGTGAGCACGACCCATCGGAAGGGCGAGCCATCGGTGAGGCATGTGTGCACCACGGCTGCGAGCGTGCACAGGCCCAGCGCCGCGACGACCGCTCGAGCTGCTTGCACAGGCGACATGGCAGGCGACGCCAGCGGGGCCCTGCGATAGCAGAAAGAAGGAAGGTGGTGACGCACAGTGCCGTACGTTGTATTGTAAGGAACGCGCTGAAGAAAAATATATTCGACCACTATCACCCCACATAAACAGCCCCGCTATTAACTTAGGTTGGGAGTTATGAGACGGGACTTTAAGCTCGCGTCTCAAATTTCCAACCGTTTAAAGGGCAACACCCGAATTACTCAACGGAAGTCAACGCGGGAAAACAGGTTTGGGGAAGCAGAGACTTGAGGTTCGAAAACCTCCCCTACACCTTTCTTTCCCGAAACCAGAAGGAGCGAGACACAAGCAGGCGTCAGTTTGTGAAGGCCTCTTTGTAATTCGGGGGCTGGCCTTTAACACTTGGTTGGGTTTGCCCTTCCTTGTTTGGGTAACGAATGACGAAATATGTGACGAGCTGGTGAAAAAAACACAGCGAACTTCAAAACAGTAGAGGCCGAAACAAACCAGGGTGGGCAGGTTTGGGTGGAAGACGAGCCTGACAGGTTTGGCCCTTATTGACTACTGAACGACCCATCCCGACGACGCATGCACGTCGCATGTGACATAAGTGAAATGTCACAAAGTGAGTGCCCACTCCAAGCAACCATACTCCCCCCGCTAAGCAGTGGGGACACCGGAACATAAACAAGGTAAGCATTCATTCCCCGATACGATTAGTATCAAATGAGAATGAGAGTAGGGATGGGCTGAATGAGAGTAGGAATCGCGAAATGAAAATAGGAAGGGCTGATTGAGAGTACGACGGGCGGAATGAGCGTATGGATGGGCGAGGTGAGAGTAGGGATGGTCGGAATAAGTTTAGGGTGGGCGGAATGCGAGTAGGAATGGCAAAATTACAGCGTGAAGGGCGGAACGACAGGAAGAAGGGCGGAATGAGAGGAAGAAGGGCGGATCGAGAGGAAGAACACCAAGTCGGGAGGAAGAATGGCGGAATGAAAGGAAGAACGGCGGAATGAGATGAAGAAGGGCGGAATGGGAGGAATGAGAGCATGGAAAGGACAGAATGAGAGCATGGAAAGGACAGAATGAGAGCATGGAAAGGACAGAATGAGAGCATGGAAAGGACAGAATGAGAGCATGGAAAGGACAGAATGAGAGCATGGAAAGGACAGAATGAGAGCATGGAAAGGACAGAATGAGAGCATGGAAAGGACAGAATGAGAGCATGGAAAGGACAGAATGAGAGCATGGAAAGGACAGAATGAGAGCATGGAAAGGACAGAATGAGAGCATGGAAAGGACAGAATGAGAGCATGGAAAGGACAGAATGAGAGCATGGAAAGGACAGAATGAGAGCATGGAAAGGACAGAATGAGAGCATGGAAAGGACAGAATGAGAGCATGGAAAGGACAGAATGAGAGCATGGAAAGGACAGAATGAGAGCATGGAAAGGACAGAATGAGAGCATGGAAAGGACAGAATGAGAGCATGGAAAGGACAGAATGAGAGCATGGAAAGGACAGAATGAGAGCATGGAAAGGACAGAATGAGAGCATGGAAAGGACAGAATGAGAGCATGGAAAGGACAGAATGAGAGCATGGAAAGGACAGAATGAGAGCATGGAAAGGACAGAATGAGAGCATGGAAAGGACAGAATGAGAGCATGGAAAGGACAGAATGAGAGCATGGAAAGGACAGAATGAGAGCATGGAAAGGACAGAATGAGAGCATGGAAAGGACAGAATGAGAGCATGGAAAGGACAGAATGAGAGCATGGAAAGGACAGAATGAGAGCATGGAAAGGACAGAATGAGAGCATGGAAAGGACAGAATGAGAGCATGGAAAGGACAGAATGAGAGCATGGAAAGGACAGAATGAGAGCATGGAAAGGACAGAATGAGAGCATGGAAAGGACAGAATGAGAGCATGGAAAGGACAGAATGAGAGCATGGAAAGGACAGAATGAGAGCATGGAAAGGACAGAATGAGAGCATGGAAAGGACAGAATGAGAGCATGGAAAGGACAGAATGAGAGCATGGAAAGGACAGAATGAGAGCATGGAAAGGACAGAATGAGAGCATGGAAAGGACAGAATGAGAGCATGGAAAGGACAGAATGAGAGCATGGAAAGGACAGAATGAGAGCATGGAAAGGACAGAATGAGAGCATGGAAAGGACAGAATGAGAGCATGGAAAGGACAGAATGAGAGCATGGAAAGGACAGAATGAGAGCATGGAAAGGACAGAATGAGAGCATGGAAAGGACAGAATGAGAGCATGGAAAGGACAGAATGAGAGCATGGAAAGGACAGAATGAGAGCATGGAAAGGACAGAATGAGAGCATGGAAAGGACAGAATGAGAGCATGGAAAGGACAGAATGAGAGCATGGAAAGGACAGAATGAGAGCATGGAAAGGACAGAATGAGAGCATGGAAAGGACAGAATGAGAGCATGGAAAGGACAGAATGAGAGCATGGAAAGGACAGAATGAGAGCATGGAAAGGACAGAATGAGAGCATGGAAAGGACAGAATGAGAGCATGGAAAGGACAGAATGAGAGCATGGAAAGGACAGAATGAGAGCATGGAAAGGACAGAATGAGAGCATGGAAAGGACAGAATGAGAGCATGGAAAGGACAGAATGAGAGCATGGAAAGGACAGAATGAGAGCATGGAAAGGACAGAATGAGAGCATGGAAAGGACAGAATGAGAGCATGGAAAGGACAGAATGAGAGCATGGAAAGGACAGAATGAGAGCATGGAAAGGACAGAATGAGAGCATGGAAAGGACAGAATGAGAGCATGGAAAGGACAGAATGAGAGCATGGAAAGGACAGAATGAGAGCATGGAAAGGACAGAATGAGAGCATGGAAAGGACAGAATGAGAGCATGGAAAGGACAGAATGAGAGCATGGAAAGGACAGAATGAGAGCATGGAAAGGACAGAATGAGAGCATGGAAAGGACAGAATGAGAGCATGGAAAGGACAGAATGAGAGCATGGAAAGGACAGAATGAGAGCATGGAAAGGACAGAATGAGAGCATGGAAAGGACAGAATGAGAGCATGGAAAGGACAGAATGAGAGCATGGAAAGGACAGAATGAGAGCATGGAAAGGACAGAATGAGAGCATGGAAAGGACAGAATGAGAGCATGGAAAGGACAGAATGAGAGCATGGAAAGGACAGAATGAGAGCATGGAAAGGACAGAATGAGAGCATGGAAAGGACAGAATGAGAGCATGGAAAGGACAGAATGAGAGCATGGAAAGGACAGAATGAGAGCATGGAAAGGACAGAATGAGAGCATGGAAAGGACAGAATGAGAGCATGGAAAGGACAGAATGAGAGCATGGAAAGGACAGAATGAGAGCATGGAAAGGACAGAATGAGAGCATGGAAAGGACAGAATGAGAGCATGGAAAGGACAGAATGAGAGCATGGAAAGGACAGAATGAGAGCATGGAAAGGACAGAATGAGAGCATGGAAAGGACAGAATGAGAGCATGGAAAGGACAGAATGAGAGCATGGAAAGGACAGAATGAGAGCATGGAAAGGACAGAATGAGAGCATGGAAAGGGACAGAATGAGAGCATGGAAAGGACAGAATGAGAGCATGGAAAGGACAGAATGAGAGCATGGAAAGGACAGAATGAGAGCATGGAAAGGACAGAATGAGAGCATGGAAAGGACAGAATGAGAGCATGGAAAGGACAGAATGAGAGCATGGAAAGGACAGAATGAGAGCATGGAAAGGACAGAATGAGAGCATGGAAAGGACAGAATGAGAGCATGGAAAGGACAGAATGAGAGCATGGAAAGGACAGAATGAGAGCATGGAAAGGACAGAATGAGAGCATGGAAAGGACAGAATGAGAGCATGGAAAGGACAGAATGAGAGCATGGAAAGGACAGAATGAGAGCATGGAAAGGACAGAATGAGAGCATGGAAAGGACAGAATGAGAGCATGGAAAGGACAGAATGAGAGCATGGAAAGGACAGAATGAGAGCATGGAAAGGACAGAATGAGAGCATGGAAAGGACAGAATGAGAGCATGGAAAGGACAGAATGAGAGCATGGAAGGACAGAATGAGAGCATGGAAAGGACAGAATGAGAGCATGGAAAGGACAGAATGAGAGCATGGAAAGGACAGAATGAGAGCATGGAAAGGACAGAATGAGAGCATGGAAAGGACAGAATGAGAGCATGGAAAGGACAGAATGAGAGCATGGAAAGGACAGAATGAGAGCATGGAAAGGACAGAATGAGAGCATGGAAAGGACAGAATGAGAGCATGGAAAGGACAGAATGAGAGCATGGAAAGGACAGAATGAGAGCATGGAAAGGACAGAATGAGAGCATGGAAAGGACAGAATGAGAGCATGGAAAGGACAGAATGAGAGCATGGAAAGGACAGAATGAGAGCATGGAAAGGACAGAATGAGAGCATGGAAAGGACAGAATGAGAGCATGGAAAGGACAGAATGAGAGCATGGAAAGGACAGAATGAGAGCATGGAAAGGACAGAATGAGAGCATGGAAAGGACAGAATGAGAGCATGGAAAGGACAGAATGAGAGCATGGAAAGGACAGAATGAGAGCATGGAAAGGACAGAATGAGAGCATGGAAAGGACAGAATGAGAGCATGGAAAGGACAGAATGAGAGCATGGAAAGGACAGAATGAGAGCATGGAAAGGACAGAATGAGAGCATGGAAAGGACAGAATGAGAGCATGGAAAGGACAGAATGAGAGCATGGAAAGGACAGAATGAGAGCATGGAAAGGACAGAATGAGAGCATGGAAAGGACAGAATGAGAGCATGGAAAGGACAGAATGAGAGCATGGAAAGGACAGAATGAGAGCATGGAAAGGACAGAATGAGAGCATGGAAAGGACAGAATGAGAGCATGGAAAGGACAGAATGAGAGCATGGAAAGGACAGAATGAGAGCATGGAAAGGACAGAATGAGAGCATGGAAAGGACAGAATGAGAGCATGGAAAGGACAGAATGAGAGCATGGAAAGGACAGAATGAGAGCATGGAAAGGACAGAATGAGAGCATGGAAAGGACAGAATGAGAGCATGGAAAGGACAGAATGAGAGCATGGAAAGGACAGAATGAGAGCATGGAAAGGACAGAATGAGAGCATGGAAAGGACAGAATGAGAGCATGGAAAGGACAGAATGAGAGCATGGAAAGGACAGAATGAGAGCATGGAAAGGACAGAATGAGAGCATGGAAAGGACAGAATGAGAGCATGGAAAGGACAGAATGAGAGCATGGAAAGGACAGAATGAGAGCATGGAAAGGACAGAATGAGAGCATGGAAAGGACAGAATGAGAGCATGGAAAGGACAGAATGAGAGCATGGAAAGGACAGAATGAGAGCATGGAAAGGACAGAATGAGAGCATGGAAAGGACAGAATGAGAGCATGGAAAGGACAGAATGAGAGCATGGAAAGGACAGAATGAGAGCATGGAAAGGACAGAATGAGAGCATGGAAAGGACAGAATGAGAGCATGGAAAGGACAGAATGAGAGCATGGAAAGGACAGAATGAGAGCATGGAAAGGACAGAATGAGAGCATGGAAAGGACAGAATGAGAGCATGGAAAGGACAGAATGAGAGCATGGAAAGGACAGAATGAGAGCATGGAAAGGGACAGAATGAGAGCATGGAAAGGACAGAATGAGAGCATGGAAAGGACAGAATGAGAGCATGGAAAGGACAGAATGAGAGCATAGGAAAGGACAGAATGAGAGCATGGAAAGGACAGAATGAGAGCATGGAAAGGGACAGAATGAGAGCATGGAAAGGACAGAATGAGAGCATGGAAAGGACAGAATGAGAGCATGGAAAGGACAGAATGAGAGCATGGAAAGGACAGAATGAGAGCATGGAAAGGACAGAATGAGAGCATGGAAGGACAGATGAGAGCATGGAAAGGACAGAATGAGAGCATGGAAGGACAGAATGAGAGCATGGAAAGGACAGAATGAGAGCATGGAAGGACAGAATGAGAGCATGGAAAGGACAGAATGAGAGCATGGAAAGG